TTTTATTTTTTTTGAAGAACCTCTAGATTGATTTCCACAATGACTGCATTAATTCGCAGTCCCACAAGCAGTGAATACAGTTCTTCCTTCTCCATAACCTCTCCAACATTTGTTAGATTTCTTGATGACAGCCATTCTGACTGGGGTGAGGCGGTATCACAAAGCAGTTTTAATTTGCATTTCCCTGATGACTAGAGATGTTGAACAGTTTTTAAAATAGTTTTTGGTGGGGCTGGAGAGATGACTCAACGGTTAAGAGCACTGGCTCCTCTTGACAGAGGACCCAGGTTCAATTCCCAGCACCCACATGGTGGCTAACAACCATACGTAACTCCAGTTCTGGGGGAATCCAACGCCCTCTTCTGACTCCTCGGGCATTGCATGGCACAGGTGCACTTACACACATGCAGACAATAGTCATACACATAAAAATAATAAATAAAGGCCAGGCGTGGTGGTGCATGCCCTTAATCCCAGCATTCGGGAGGCAGAGGCAGGAGGATTGCTGTGAATTCAAGGCCAGCCTAGTCTACATAGTGAGTTCCTGTAGCTGGGGCTACAGGGAGACCCTGTCTCAAAAAGACCAAAAAAAATAGTTTGGGGGCATTTGTATTTCTTTTTAGGAAAACTATTTAATTCATTAGCCCATTTGATTCATAGTTTTATTTCTTTGATTTTAATTTCTGCAGCTCTTTGTAAATTCTGGATATTAGCCTCTTTCTGATGTATAGCTAGTTAAGATTTTTCTCACATGCTGTGGGATGTCTGTCTGCTATGCTGATAGTTTCTTTCACCGTGAAGGACTTTTTAATGTCATGTGGTCCCATCTGATGATCCTTGGGGCTAGTTCCTGTGCTACTGACTGTTCAGAAAGTTCTTGCCTAACCCAGTATCCTGAAGAGTATTCCCTGATTCTTAATCTAGAAGTTTTGGGGTTTCAGATTTTAAATTAAAGTCTTTGATCCATTTCAAACTGATTTTTATACAAGGCGAAAGTTGTGAATCCAATTTCTTTCTTCTGCGGGTGAAATCCAGTTTTGCCAACACCATTTACTGAAAAGGCTATCTTTTCCCCAATGTATGTTTTTGCCTCCTTTGTCAAGAATAAGGTAAGCATAGCTTTGTCCATTTATTTCCAGGTCCTCTATTCCATTCCACTGGTCTTCCTGTCTGTTTTTATGCCAATACCAAGCTGTCTTTATCTCTAACTTTGCAGCATAATATGAGGTTAGGTGTTGTGATGCCTCCAGCTGTTCTTATGCCATAGGACTGATTTGGCTATTTGTGGTCTTTCATGATTCCATATAAATTTTCAGATTGTTTTTCTTGATTTGTGAAATACGACATTGGAATTTTGAGAGGTATGGCACTAAATCTGTGGATTTATTTTAATAGTATAGCCATTTTCACAATATTAATTCTGCCATTCCAAAATCATGAAAGCTCTTTCCACCATCTAGTAGTATCTTCTTTGAAGTCATTTTTCAAAGTCTTGAAGTTTTCATTCCTAGGTACTTAATTTTTGGAGCTATTTTGAATGGGATATTTTTTCTATTTACTTTCTCTGTGAGTATATTGGTGGCGTATAAGAAGGCCACTTGGCTAGAAGGATGTCTCAATGATTAAGAGTACTTAATACTCTTCCAGAGAACAAGTGTTCAGTTAACTCCAGTTCCAAGGGAATCTAATGCCCTCTTCTGGCCTCTGTGGGTACCAAGCACATGTGGTATACTTACATACATGTAGGCAAAACATTCATACACATAAAATAAAAATAAATGAAATCTTTTTTAAAGGCTACTTTTTCTATTAATTTTTGTATACTGCAACATTACTGTGTTTATTAGAGCTATGAGGTTTTTAGTAGATTCTATAACATCT